TGATAAGAGCACTCTACAAATAAAGTTCCAAGATACTAACTTCCAAAATGCCATTGTATTCTTGTGAAATTTTCCCTTGCTTAATGGTAAAGTTACCTATTTAAATAATTTTTTAATAAAATAGTATTCATTGTTTTTGATAAATACACCCATCACAACCCCTTCTAACTTGAACCTTTGTATTTTGAGGGGTCTTAACTATATATATATATATATATATGATAATCTAAATTTCACAACCCTTTAAATTACAAAGGTTAAAGATAGAGAGAGTTGTGAATAGTGGATTTATTAATTTTGTAGTCTATTTTTTAAAAAAAATTACTTTTGTGGGGCAATTTTGTAAATATTACTACAAGACAAATGGTACTTTTGTCATCTCCATAAGAGGTAAAGTTGAAATTTTAACTAAAGGACAAAGGCACTCTACAAATAAACTTTCAGAAAACTAACTTCCAAAATGTCATTGTACTTTTGTGAAAATTTCAAATTTGTCTTTGCTTAATGGTAAAGTTACATATTTAAATAATTGTTTAATAAAAAAGTAATGATTGCTTTGATAAATACACCCATCACAACCCTTTCTAACTTGAACATTTGTATTTTGAGGTGTTGTTAACTCTAGACAAACCCATATATATATATATATATATGTGTGTATGTGTGTGTGTGTGTGTATGTGTGTGTGTGTGTGTGTGTGTGTGGGCAATGATTTCATGCAACAGTTTTATCATAGTATAATGCAACGACACTTCTACAAAACCATATTTGTGGTATTTGTATGACCCAAAATTTTGCATACACACTCTCTTCATTACAATAATCAATCCTGAAAAAGAAAAGTTTCAATTTGAACCCTGGATATGGTCAAAATGAGTCCCCTCCAACAACAAATCTAGACCATTCATTTGGTGAATTTCTAGATCTTAGTCTTTACGTACTCAAAATCAATTTTAGCTTTTTTACCATTGTTCATCTAATCATAATAAAGCCATCAAAAAAAATTGGTAAAGAAAAAATTCTCCTAAGGCCTAGATCTATGCATCTCACAAAAATTAATGACCTATGTTAATTGGGCTGAAAAATGAAATTTTTCTTTTTGATGATTGCTCATTAGAATGAAAAGAGTTTATTTTTCAAATTTTGGATCAAACAAATAGCGCTAACATGGTTTATGAAGGTTTTTGAATCATACTAGGATATAACCATTGCATGGAACTTTTTGGTGACCTGTTGTTAGGTTTTCAATTTCCTATGCATCATCCTATGTTTTTTTTATTTTACTGAATTTTGCAAGAGATTTTTTTTATGTTTGATTTTATGTGAGAACAAAAAATTTTGATCCAATGCCATTTCAAACTTTATGCTTTAAGTGAACACTTTTTAGGGGCATCAGACCATAAGACAAACGTTTGTTGTTACACAATGAAAAACTTTGTTTATAGTGTTAGAAAAGTGCAAGCAAGAACTGGAGAAAAGAAAATTTTAGCAAGATGGTTACGAGGGAAACGATAGTTCTCGAAAAGGTCTTGGGATTTGTGAAATGGTTCGAGAAGGTCACATCGATAGAGAAGGCATGATTTGAGAAATATGTATCATCCAGAAAGCTATGTAGCTTAAATTTCATAATTACAAACATGGATGTCAATAAACTATACATCTTGAGTTATGGATGATACGTATATGATATGCTTGTTATTATGAATTTAACAAGGTAAAAGTATCTGGTATTGTAATTTTGGGTGACAAATGAATTTGTATCCTGGAACATTTTGTAGAACAAAGTGTTTATGTATGAATTTTCCCTTGAGAACATACTTGATGTAGGAAAATTTATGAAAAACAAAAAGTCAACAATATTTTAGACCAAGCACAGGGAATAAATAGAAGAAGCCTAGGGTTTCTTCTTCAAACCCAACTAGAGCTTCAAAAGCTTAAGATTTTATCTGTATTTCTTTAATTTGAATACCACATGGAATGACCCTTCTAGGCCCCACACATCTCTTAAATAATCGTATTTAATGTTCAAAGACATTAATTGTCCTCACAATGAATAAATGTAGGCTACTCCAACCATTATATGTATTCAAAATAAGAATATGATACAATGTGCAATTTAATATCACAGGGTTTGACGAATAGCAAGCCGCAGGTGCAGAAAATGTCTTCCTTAACATAGGAATAGGATAGTTATTGTCTAATTAAAAAAATTGACAGCTTGTGCAGAAACCTAACAGGAGGCGAGTAATTCTACCTTCTTACCTCTTCTAGACTTTAATGAACAAATAATTTTATTTAGTTTGTAACCGATGTGGGAACAAGAAACTTGGTTCGTACTCAAGCAGGTTAGGGCATGGTGGGCCAGAT